GCCTCCAACCAAATAGCGATGGCCTCCAACCTACTAGAGACTAGCGAAGGCCTCCAACCTAAAAGCGATGGCCTTCAACCTAATAGCGATGGCCTCCAACCAAATAGCAATGGCCTCCAACCTACTAGCAATGGCCTCCAACCAAATAGCGATGGCCTCCACCCTACTAGCAATGGCCTCCAACCTAATAGCAATGGCCTCCAACCCAATAGCGATGGCCTCCAACCTAATAGCAATGGCCTCCAACCCAAAAGCTGGCCTCCAACCCAATAGCGATGGCCTCCAACCCACTAGCAATGGCCTCCAACCAAATAGCGATGGCCTCCACCCTGCTAGCGATGGCCTCCAACCTACTAGCAATGGCCTCCACCCTACTACTAGCGATGGCCTCCAGCCTACTAGCAATGGCCTCCAACCTACTAGCAATGGCCTCCAACTGACTAGCGATGGCCTCCAACCTACTAGCGATGGCCTCCAACCTACTAGCGATGGCCTCCAACCTCATAGCAATGGCCTCAATGGCCTCCAACCTACTATAGCCATGGCCTCCAACCTGCTAGCGATGGCCTCCAACCTAATAGCCATGGCCTCCAACCTACTAGCGATGGCCTTCATTTCAGGAATAATACCAATGTCTATGGTTGCTGCAAGCTGGCCAGATCAACTGTCTTCAAGAACAGCAATTACTTTTTGTTTTTTGGTGCGAAATTGTGTTCTATCATTGATGTAGTTCATTCTACTTCTTCTTCTTATTCTTCTTCTTCAGGGTCTGGACGGCAGCGTACTGTGTGTGCGCGGTGTTCTCTAAAGGCGGAAGAGAGAAGACTCGCGTGAACGTCCTGGCCGCCCTGGCCCAAAAAAACGTTAGAACCATTAGAAGATCTTTCGCTGAAAGGGTCAGGAACATGCTGCGATAGATTCTGCGCTGGGGAGGATGTGGTTGAAAGAAGGCACTTTGAGGTGCAAGTTCGGGTGAGACAGCGACGTCTTGGTTTCAAGGACCAGCTGAAACAGGCAACGCTGGCAAATAGATGCCACCTACACACTTTCGGACACACCTCCAAGTCTGCAAGTGCCACATGTTTTTGACAAACGTGGTTATCCTTGGAGCTCCAAGCTTTGGCTCCGTCCACATACCTTGGGTTGTCCTCGGCCCAGTAGACCTCACATATCCAGTCGACTCGCTGCCACGATGAATTTTGTCGAAGAAGACCTTGTCGAGGCGTAGATGCCACGAGCTGGGCGTTGATCGCGAAGTTCTTTAAGCTCTCTTTGGCCGCTTTGGGGGTCGATGGCTTTTCTGGGAATGTTGTGGAAACGATTCGATATCAATGGCCGGGAGAATGCGAAGGATGTGATTCTTGATGGCTCAAGGTATTGTTTGACTTCTCTTGTGGGATTTGGAGCGTCAAGAAAGGTCAAACCAAATGCTTTTGAGCCAAAAGCAGGCATTTCTAGTTGTTCAAGAGCAGTGGTCTCCAACTATAAACGATAATTACCAAAGACCATCAGACATCCTCAGCACCATGTATGGAGAACAATTTGGAACAAATGCCTACCGTTATTGTGCAACAAGTAACCTTGTTCAAGAGCTCACATCCCAAGCAGCATTAAGTGGATGGCCTCCAACCTACTAGCGATGGCCTCCAACCTAGTAACCTTGTTCAAGAGCTCACATCCCAAGCAGCGTTAAGTGGATGGCCTCCAACCTACTAGCGATGGCCTCCAACCTAGTAGCGTCCTTGCTCCTAGTAGTAAGGCCAGGAGCCCCTAGTA